TGTCTTCTGAACTCCTCCTCCCGGCATCATGATAAGTGAGCAAACCTTTGTGTCGCTGGCAGGAAGAAAGAGCCGGTCTGAGACTCTGAAAGGCTCTATAATTATTTTGCGCAGATGTATTTGCAGAGATTACCCAAAGAGCTCGGGAGAAGGCGGCCGTCTCCGGAGGCCAAGGGTGAGACAGATAAGAACGCTGGTGTTTTAATGAGCAGTTTGATGGATTAGGCCGCCAAGTGATGGATTAGGAGGCATTTATGTGGCGACACACCAAAACAGGGGACCGGGGCCCACGTGCCTCCGTGGTTTGCAGGAATTCTCTGGCCCTAGTTTGCGTCTTGTAGAGGAGACCCAATGTCAGGGAGAAAGGGCGTCCGGCTGACACTCACCACAGAGGGAGCCCGTGCTGGGCTGCAAAAGTCGAGCTCAGCCGGACCCACACAACCATGTGCCTTCCACTCAGGCAGCCTCTGGGGAAGTGTGGGGAAGAAGACCGCCTGGGACTCTTGGTGCCAGTGGGCGATCCGGCTTAAACGGCCCAGCCGCCCCTTGCATTCACGGAGGACCTCGGTGCCCGCTGCCCTCTCTGCCTCCCGCTGGCCTCTGTGCCGGATAGCCACCCCTCGCTTTCAGACAACACTCCGCCCCCCGCAGAAAGTCATGCCAGAGACAACAGCGTCCCTGGAGAAAATGTGTGCCAGCTGACTCTGGAGTCCAATCCCACCCTCCATCTGGCCAGTACAGACACATCCCAAGCCCCAGCAGAGAGCAGGGGTGGGGCGTGCCGCAGGAGTGCCTTCGATCCCCAGAAAGGACGCTCTGCAGAGATCCGTCCACCCCCCTCTCTCCACTGGTCTGTTGCTCTCACAAGAAGAAGAAGAAGAGGAGGAGGAGGGGATTGGATTTATACCCCACCACTACCGGAAGGAGTCTCAGAGCGGCTTCCAATCTCCTTTCCCTTTCTCTCCCTACAACAGACACCCTGTGAGGTAGGTGGGGCTGAGAGGGCTCTTTTGAGAACTGCCCTTGCGAGAACAGCTCTGAGCGAACTGTGACTGACCCAAGGTCACACCAGCAGCTGCATGTGCAGGAGTGGGGAATCAAACCCGGTTCTCCCGGATTAGAGTCCGCGCTCCTAGCCACTACACCAAACAAGAAGCGTAGCTGTGCTGGATCAGATCGATGTCCCATCTAGTCCAGCATCCTGTTTCCAACAGAGGCCGGCCAGACACCACAGCGAAGCCCCCGGGCACCCTTCCCCTGCTGCGTGCTCTTCAGCATCCGATGACAGCAGGCACCTCTCTGCCCTTCTGCCTGGAGTTCCCACGGCCAGAAGCCCCAGCCACAGACCTCTCCTGACTAAATCTGTCCAACCCCTTTTGAAATCCATCTAAGGCAGCTGCCGTAGACCCATGCATTGTGGCAGTGAGTTCCACGGGTCAACTGCCCACTGTGTGAAGGAGTCCTTCGCTGCCAATCAAGTTTCAGAGGATACCTGTAAATTCTAACATTACGGGAAGCGCCAAACAGTTTATTTCTAGCTGGTTTTCTGCACATAATGTTGTGGACTTGCATCATGTCACTTCTCAGTTGCCTTTTTCACCGGGCCAGGGGTCATTTCCTGTGGGAGCGCACAGGAGCAGAGCTCCAGCAGTAAGAAGCCCAGGGGGCGGGCACATGCAACAAGCCCCACCCCCTGCTCCCAGAAACCCTCAGTTGGGCCACAAGGAGCAAGAAGCAGCCAGGTAAGTTGCAGAGCCCCCCCCCGGCCCGCCTTCAGGTACAAGCTCTCCCTCCTCTGTGAGGGCAGATCTGCACGTCCCCCCCCCAATAGCTAGCAATCCAAAACAGTCCAGTGGCACCTTTAAGACCAAGTTTTATTCAGGTACAAGCTCTCCAGCCTCCGTGAGGACAGATCTGCACGTTCCCCCCCCCAACAGCTAGCAATCCAAAACAGTTCAGTGGAACCTGAGCGGTGGGTGTTGCCTTCTGACACACTTCCGGCGATGTCAGGGGGTGTGGCCTATGCAAATGAGGTATGCTAATGAGTTATGCTAATGAGCTCCTGCACCTCTTTTTCTACAAAATGACCCCTGTTTCACCCTATAGTAAAAAAACCCCAAACATGTATTTCAGCCTTCCTTCACAGAAAAGGGGCCCCAAATCCCGTGGCCCTTTGGTTTATCCTTTTCTGCACTTTCCCAGCTTTCTGAGAAGCACCGCCCAGACCGGTGGGCTGCCCCCCTCCCGCCCATGTCCATGGGTCATGAGCCAATCCTGCCCCCGCCTCCCTTCTTTATTCGCTTGCCCCTCTACCGCAAGGCCTCTGGGCCAGAGACTGCCTTGCTTTGATATTCTGTACAGCACCTAGCACAGGCCCTCTTGGCGCAACATCCATCCATCCATCTCCTCCTCCTCCTCCTCAAAAGAGCAGCCAAGCAAATCCCGCCCCCCCCCCAATCCATGGGAGAATCCTGCTGTCAGTTTCGAAAGGTCATTCCTGCCCCATCCACTCAGCCCGCGCTATTTATAGCTGCTCCATGTGGCGCGAGAGCCCTGCCGGGAAAGGGGGCTTGTTCAGCAGCAGGCAGAGGCTTTGCGTTCTGTGCAGCTCGCGCTAGGGGGCACTGGAGGCCCGGCGGTGAGAGCGAGAGGCACTGGACAGGCTCGGGAGGGAGCGCTCCAGACAACAGAACAGCCGACAATTAGCAGGGATTTCAGAATCTGGCTTCGGCTTCCAAAATGCCGCGGGAAGGACAGCCAAAGTGGTGCAGGAAGTGTGTTGTGCGGAAGCCAAACCTGTCAAGGCGGGCGAAGGGAAGCTGATCTGCCGAAGGAGCTCAGAGCCCTTGGCGGGAAGGGCCAGAACCAGAACGGTCTGGATTTCCGACAAGGGACGGATTTGGAGCTCTTTACACTCACGGCAGGTGCCGCGGGCCGAAGATCCAGGCTTGGGTGGAGGCGCTTTTCAGAAACAAAAATCCCTTTGCCCCATGCAGACTCCCAACATCGTGAGTGGCACGGCCAGTCCCCTTTGACTAGTGACCCCCTGCGTGCCAAAGAGCTCTGCTATCCAGAGAGGCTTTGGCCCCTCCCTGAAACTCAGCCTGCTCTCCGACCCACTTCTGTGGCAGAGAGTTCCACAGTCTCAATGCATGAGACGAGCACTGGCCACCAGCTTTTGGTTTCTTTCGACTGTTCCCTGCCCTCACCAGCAAGGCTGCAGCAGGGAATACAAGCAGCAGCAGCAGAAGAGATTGGATTTATCCCCCGCCCTTCACTACCCAAGGGACTCTCAGAGCGGCTTACAAACTCCTTTCCCTTCCCCTCCCCACAACAGACACCCTGGGAGGTAGGTGGGGCTGAGAGAGCACTTGACGGAAACTGCTCTTCTTCAAGAACAGCTCTTATCAGAACTACAGCTTGCCCAAGGTCATCCAGCAGCTGCAAGTGGAGGAGTGGGGACTCAAACCCGGTTCTCCCAGATTAGAGTCCGTGCACTTAACCACAACACCAAACTGGCTTTGTGCGAGGAAGGAGCCCCGCGAACAGTTTGTCAAAGTGGGCAGAATCGGCGGCAGAACCTCCTTGACCAGCCAAACCCATGCCCTGCAAAAGGTCCCAGTCCAGTGCTTCCTCACGAAATACGCCCTCCCCTTACCCTAAACGGCCCCAGCTTCCTGAACGTACAGATCTCACCACCATCACCACAGCGAGGGTCTTCCCTTTGCTAAGCAGGAACACCCACAGAAGATTTGGGTTGGGGGCGCATTCTGAGAGGTGTGTGTTTGTTTCCTCCTGACTGCTCCTGCAGAGTGCTGCAGGGGGTTGGACTAGATGACCTGCAAGGTGCCTTCCAACTCTAACGTTCCATGATGGCATGTTTGTTTGATTTCTATCCCGCCCTCCCCGCAAGCGGGCTCAAGCCAGGGAGGGACCTGCGACCAGCAAAAGAGGATTCCTCACACTGTAGCCTCTTTGCACTGCTTAGCTTCTGCTCAGGATCACTCTTATCCGCTTAAGTCCAGGAGCACCTTTGAAGACCCACAAAGTTTTAATTCTGGGTATTGTCCCGCGCGTGCACACGAAAGCTTATACCCAGAATAAAGCTTTGTTGGCCTTAAAACTCAGACTTTGTTCTGCTGCTTCAGACCCACATGGTGACCCACCAGAATCTATCTTATCTCCTTAGTATCTGCTTCGTTTCAGAGGGTGGCCAGGTGGTGGTGGAGGAGGAGGAGGAAGAGGAAGAATTGGATTTATACCCCGCCCTTCACTACCCAAAGGTGTCTCAGAGCGGCTTTACAAACTCCTTTCCCTTCCCTTCCCCACAACAGACACCCTAGGAGGTAGGTGGGGCTGAGAGAGCTCTTGACAGAAACTGCTCTTTTTTTCAAGAACAGCTGTGCCAGAACTTCGGCTTGCCCAAGGTCATCCAGCAGCTGCAAGTGGAGGAGTGGGGAATCAAACCCGGTTCTCCCAGATTAGAGTCTGCGCACCTAACCACAACACCAAACTGGCTCTTTCTCAAGAACAGTTCTGCCAGAACTATGGCTTGCCCTAGGTCATCCAGCAGGTGCAAGTGGAGGAGCGGGGAATCAAACCCAGTTCTCCCAGATTAGAGCCCGCACACTTAGCCACTACACCAAACTGGTGCACTTCACCACTACACCAAACAACACCAAACTTAACCACAACACCAAACAACTAGCTTCGAGTCCAGGAGCACCTCAGAGACCAGCAAAGTCTTCATGGTTTGAGCTTTAGAGAGTCAAAGTTCCATTTGTCAGATGCAAGCAGGAACCCGAGTCCTCGTGTCCCAGTCGGAAGGGGGCGTGGGCGTGGCAGCGAAGGCGGCCAGGATGCAACGCACACACGGTGGCCAGCTTGATTCGAGCAGGGGAGACATGCGACGGGGCAGATGCTCATTACCACACTGTGCCGAGCAAGCGGTGGCTTCCAGCACCTTCATCATGCCCAGGTAAAGTGGTACATGACAAAGGCCCAGGCTGTCGCATTCAGACGTGTCCTGGGGTGCAAGCAGTCTTCTCCAAAAGGGACACCAAAGCACACTTTTGCCAGAGGTGCACAGTGGATGGGTAAGGCAGCAGATGCAAAGTCAGCATAAGAGTACTCTGGAAAAGACGGCCACGAGAAGGCTGGCACCAAAGCCGTGTGACACCATCACGTGACGCTTCTGCCTTCTACAGCCCCCGGCCCCTCTTGCTGAATACTCTGACTGACAGTGGCCCTCGGGCACAGAGAAGGCTTTCCCCCAACACTTGCTGACTGAGACCCAACTTAAGAAGAAATGCCAGGGACTGGACCTGGGAAATCGTGTCTGCAGCCTACCACTGAGCCAGCTCCCCCCCCCCCCAATAGTTCCACGGGGTCTCTTCACAGTGCAGCCCTGGGGAGAGTCACGCCCTTAAAAACCCGCTGACTTAACTGGATTTAGAAGAGTGTAGCCCTGCTTGGGACTGCGTTGTCACTCAAGAGGCCAGCCAGCTAAGCCTTTTGGTGGCGTGCGGTGTGTATGTATGTGTGCGTGTGTGTGTCCGGAGGAGAGCTGAACATCAGAGGGGGCCTTATTTATTTTTATTTATTTATTTATCTTTAAATTTATACCTCGCCCTCCCCGAAGGCTCAGGGTGGCTCACAAGGGGCACGAATGCCCAAGTTAAAACATTAAAACAGTACAGAACAATATAAAATACAGTAACTACAGTACACTAAAATTTGCTTTACGGTGCTCCAAAATTAGTTAACTATAACATTCAAGATGGGGTTCTAAAAATACTAACAACAAGCAACAATAATAACAATCAATATAGCAGCAACAATATACGTCCATACAGCATTGTTCTCTGCCAGGCACGTCTCACACCCCCAATAGTCCCCGCTCCGGGGGTGGTCAATTTGTGGGACCAATAAGGGTGGACGATGGCAACATGATGATGATGGCGTGATGATGGTGGCGGCGGCCAATGCTCCCTCTAAGCTGTGGAGTCCTCTGAACAAAAATTCTACTTTCTGAGCTCCTGGCATTAAAGTTGTGAGCAGGTGATTTGTGGCGTAATGATGGTGGCGGCGGCTCCTACTCAAAGGCCTGGCGGAAGAGCTCCGTTTTACAGGCCCTGCGGAACTGCACCAAGTCCTGCAGGGCCCGGATCTCTTCTGGGAGCTCATTCCACCAGGTAGGAGCCACCACGGAGAACGCCCTGGCCCTGGTAACCGCAAATTTGATGTTTCTGGGGCCTGGAATGTCCAGGAGATTTTGCGTCCCCGACCGTAGGAACATGGGGGAACATGCGGGGAGAGGCGGTCCCTAAGGTAAGCCGGACCACCAGAACACATGAGCACACGAGGCCGCCTTCTACTGAGTCAGACCCTCGGTCCCTCAAGATCAGTTCTGTCTACTCAGACTGGCAGCGGCTCTCTGGGGTCTCGTGCAACGGCCTTTCCCATCACCTACCCCTGTTGCTTTTTAACGGGAGATGCTACCGGAGATTGAACCAGGGACCTTCTGCATGCCGAGCAAATGCTCTGCCCCAGAGCCACAGAGCCTTCTGCATGCCGAGCAGATGCTCTGCCCCAGAGCCACAGCCCCTCCCAGTCAGTCCGCTCTCGTCTATGCTGCCTGCCTGCGTTCTGGCTCTCCTGTCTGCAGTCTGACACCCTTCCAGTTGGAGATCCGTGGGACTGGACCTGGGACCTTCTGCACAGGAGGCTGGGAGCGATGCACTCCCTTCCCCCTGGTCTATTTACTGCCCATCCCTTTGGAATGGCATTTGAGAAGTGTTGCGATAGATGACAGAGGAGGAGGAAGCCTCCAGGTGGTGGATGGCGATTTCTCCCAGGCCCGTTTCCGGGTCTTTTAGCGCCTCTGCACACCTCAGATAACAGATTTTCTGGGCGTTCTGTTGAGCAGCCTCAACTCCCATCAAAAGGACGGACGACGGCTTCCTTTTTCTCCTATAAAGGGAGACGTTTGAGCTCCACAAAAGGGATCGGCGTCCAACGATTTTAAGCTCTAGTTATGTTTTAATCCCTTACCATGACTGCCTTGTCACAGACGTTCAGCTGAGGTTGCCCGGGCAGCAGCGTCTCCTGGTGCTGCTGGACGACCAGAGAGATCCTTTCCATGACGGTTTGGTACTCGAGGCTAGAGAAACTGGAAGGGCAGAAAGACAGAGCACAGCAGTTACGGAGCTGTCAATGCAGGAACGCGTCCGTCTGGGCAGATGGGGTCCTGTCAAGGGGATACAAACCCAGCCAAGTTATTCTGCTAAAACATGGAGCAGCAGCTGCAGAGACCGACACCTTCCCATTCATTCTCAACTTTTGAGTCCTTTCGTTGTGAGATCTTGAAAAAATGGTATTTAGCAGAGATAAGATAGTCCAGCAGAGCCAGAGTAAAATAATTCAGACTCAGAGTCCATGTGTGATTAAAATATAAAGTTTTTACTAAATTCTAGCATGGGGAAGGGTAACTGGGATGAAAATAACAACAGAGCTAAATCGGCTACATCCTTACTCTACAAAGACAAAACTAGAAGAGGGAGAGTATGGCTGCTCTTCTTCTTCTTCTTCAGAACACCAAACAAAGATGGGAAGAGAAGCCATAAAATGGTAATACACCTTGACACTTTAGTCCCAATCAAACTCCTAGATCAGGGAGAAAATTCCCGGGCTTTCTACAGCTAAAGAACATTGGTTACATGAGAAACATGTGACTTCCTGTGAGTAACATAAACAAACATTTAACCCCAGATATACTGAGTGTTTTCAACTTGTAATACCCAACACCGGGGCACCTTTGAGACCCACAAAGTTTAATTCTGGGTACCAGCTTATCCCAAGAATTACACTTTGTTGCTCCTAACGGTGCCACAGGACTCAAACTTTGTTCTACTGCTTCAGAGCAAAATGAACTTGAACCTATTCTCAACCTTAACAAACCCCTGCTGGCTGTATGACAAAAGGCATTGTGTTACAAGCTGCATGGCACTTTTCGAAATCACAGTAGTTGCCCTGGAGTTCTGCATAAGAACATAAGAGAAGCACATGTTGCATCAGGCCAGTGGCCCATCCAGCCCAACACTTTGTCACACAGTGGCCAAATATACCGGGTGCCATCAGGAGGTCCAGCAGTGGGGCCAGGACACTAGGAGCCCTCCCACTCTTGCCCCTCCAGGCACCAAGAATACAGAGCATCACTTGCCCCAGACTGAGAGTTCCTATCTATAGCTTGTGGCTAATAGCCACTGATGGACCTCTGCTCCATATGTTTATCCAATTCCCTCTTGAAGCCGTCCATGCTTGTGGCCGCCACCACCTCCTGTGGCAGTGAAATCCATGTCTTAATCCCCCTTTGGGTGAAGAAGGACTTCCTCTTTTCCGTTCTAACCCGACTGCTCAGCAATTTCATGGAGTGCCCACTTGAGTTCTTGTATTGTGAGGAAGGGAGAAAAGGACTTCTTTCTCTACCTGCTCACTGTGAAGGGTATCCCAACCACACTGGAAGTAGTTTAAGAACGCAAGGCCGGTTCTCCTGGACTCACCACTGTGCGTGACACACTGTCCGCTGGGGTCCGGATGCTTACGGAAGTGTAGGAACAGAGTAGTATGGCGGTGCCCACCCAGGTCCACACTTTCTTGGCTGCACCATCCGCTTTGAGTCATGAGCAAACGCCATCGGAGCACACAAACGTCCAGCCTGTTGGTGGTGTCCATGGACGACCAGTCGAACATCAGGGGGAATTTTTTTAACAGTCAGAGTAGTTCAGCGGTGGAATGGGCGGCCGAGGGAGGGGGTGAGCTCCCCCTCCCTGGCAGTCTTCAAGTAGCATCTGGACAAACATTTGTCAAGGATGCTCTTGGCTCATTCTGCATTGAGCAGGGGGTTAGAATAGATGGCCTCTATGGCCCCTTCCAACTCTATGATTCTATGGCTGCATGCTGTGGGGCAAGGGAATGCCACTGACTCTGTACTATTTGTGCACCTGTTTAAGCAGAAAGAAATCCCGCCACCACCAATCATACCAACCCATGCATGGCTATGAACAAGTGAAAAACATCGCCACAAGAATGTGTTTATTTACTTGCTGGGTTGTTGTTGTTTTTTAATCCTTTTGTTGTTCAGTCGCACAGACGAGTCCGACTCTTTGCAACCCCATGGACCAGCTCCCGCCAGGCCCTCCTGTTTTCCGCCGTCCTCTGAAGTTGGCTCAACTTCATGTTCGTTGCATCTATGACACCATCTGACCATCTCATCCTTTGCCGTCTTCTTTGACCTTCAATCTTTCCCCGCATCAGGGTCTTCTTCTCCAGTGAGAGCTCCCTTCTCATTGGGTGGCCAAAGTATTTGAGCTTCATTTTCATTATCTGGCCTTCCAGGGAACAGTCAGGGTTGATTTCTTTTAGGACTGACTGATTTGATCTTTTTGCAGTCCAAGGGACTCTCAAGAGTCTTCTCCAGCACCGTAGTTCAAAAGAATCTATTCTTCGGCGCTCGGCCTTCCTTATAGTCCAGCTCTCGCAGCCATACATGACTACTGGGAATACCACTGCTTTGACCATGCGGACTTTTGTTGGCAGGGTGATGTCTCTACATTTTATTATGCTGTTGAGGTTCGCCATCGCTTTCCTCCCAAGGAGCAGGCGTCTTTTAATTTCATGGCTGCAGTCACAGTCTGCGGTGATCTGGGATCCCAGGAACGTGAAGTCTGTCACTACTTGGCCTTTTGATACTGTCCATGGGGTTTTCTTGGCAAAGATACTGGAGTGGGTTGCCATTACTTTCTCCAGGGGATCACACTTGGTCTGAGTTCTCTGCTGTGGCCTATCCGTCTTGGGTGGCCCTTCACGGCATAGCCCACAGCTTCATGGAACCGCGCAAGCCCCCTCGCCATGACAAGGCAGTGATCCATGAGGGGTTTTTTAATCCTACCCTGTCCCCAAATCGCTTAGGGCAGAAGAAAAATCAGAACTACACAAAACGCTGCAGTGACCCAGGATGGGGGTCACCACATTTGCTGGAGTCGGCCAAAGCCGGGAGACAGAGGAGACCTTTTGAACTTCTCGGCAGGTTACCTGGATTGCAATTTGCGGTATTGTGGTTTTGGGAGGGAAATAAAACCTGAGCACGATGGAGCCTGTGCTCAGCACAGCAAAAGGCGCTGGGAATATTCAGCTTGGCTGATTTCCGTCTGTACACAAACCTGTGTGTGGGGGGGGTGAGGCTTCACCAAGACCAGGCGGGCACTCACAAATTCCATAAAACAGGAGTTTAGTTTGACACTCTCCCGTATGTGCTAAAGGAGGAGCTGGAAACTGCCCCCCTCACCACAGTGACAGTCTCTGACAATCCACCCCTTACTCTTATCAGGATTATAACTTCAGCAGGTATTTGTTTAAGTGGTTTAACGCTCCCTTTCACTGCCGTATTACTTCAAGTACTTCTTAAATGGAGGATTAATACCCAGTGATCTCATTTTGTCCATCATATTAAGAGTCACTTAGGACACAAAGAACCAGCAAATTGCTTTTGGAGATAAAGTGGAAACACCGACACCCAGGCCTGGTCCCAGGCCCCTTCGCTCACGGCCTGAGTCCGGCTGCTGGCCCTGGGGCTCAAGCCCGCCCCCCAAATCAATCACGGCTGAAGCCTCAGGATGCGCCAACGGTTTCCAGTAAGTCCTATAAATACCACATCTCCTTGGCAGCTCTCCAGTGACAGAGAGGGAGAGTGTGTGTGTGTGCGCAAGGAAGCCTGCTGGTGGAGCCTGGCTGAGTGTGGGGCTCAGGGCAAAGGAGAAGGACGTTTGGGAAGAGGACCTGAACTTTGAAAACTGGGCCGCTTTCTCACCCAGCCAGCTGCATTCTGGAGAACTGTGGAGATGCTGTCAAGTGAGCCGGTCGAGGGCTGCGGCAGACTCCTGAAGGGCTCTACTGCTTCCTACTCACTACAGGCATTCCCCACGGATTTTAGTACCCCACAGAGCGACTCAGCATGCCTGGACGGGTTGGTGGTGTCACTACATCACTCTAAGTGCATGTAAGCATTATCTCTTTGTCTTAACAGTGGTGGCGGCTACAAGCCTGGACGGCTTCAAGAGGGAATTAGATAAATATATGGAGCAGAGATCCATCAGTGGCTGTTAGCCACAAGGTATGGATAGGGACTCTGGGGCAAGGGATGCTCTGTATTCTTGGTGCTTGGGGGGGGGACAGTAGGAGGGCTCCTAGTGTCCTGGCCCCACTGGTGGACCTCCTGCTGGCACCTGGTCTTTTTGGCCACTGTGTGACAGAGTGTTGGCCTGGATGGGCCATTGGCCTGATCCAACACTGGCTTCTCTTAGGTTCTTATGTAACCTGGGAGCTGCCCTCTGACCTCTCGAAAGCTGATACCCGGAATTAAACTCCGTTGGTCTTAAAGGTGCGGAAAGAGGCTAAGAAAAAGAACAGAATAAAGACAATATACAAATAAGCAACTCTTAGGTACTATTCAAATTGGAGTGGTAGTAATACGTGTATAGCATGTACAAATGTTGAGCAGGCAAGCAGATGCTATACATGTATTACTACCACTCCAATTTGAATAGTACCTAAGAGTTGCTTATTTGTATATTGTCTTTATTCTGTTCTTCTTCTTAGCCTCTTTCTGCACGGTTGTTTCCCCCCTGATATTGTATTGTTCACTTGTGATTGCTTGCTGGGTCTTAAAGGTGCCCCTGGCCTCAAACTTTGTTCAACTGTAAACTAAGCTCTGTGCAAAAATTACCCTTTGTGCAGACCACCTAAACAGCGGATACCTTGCTAAAGAGTGGATCACGTTGTTAGGCGCTTTTATAATCACTCGTAGCACTGTTTACAGCCATCCATAACCTCTCCTAACGTGTACTAATTTGTTCACTAATGCTAAGAGTAGCCTGTTAGATAATTAGGAACTCGGGCCCCCAAAGACCTGACAGATTGCTTTGCATGCCCTGGCGCTGCAGAAGACAGCAAAACACCCCATGACCACAGTGGCTGGATTGAGCCCCACCTCTGTTTTGCATCGGAACAGAACCACCGATGGCAGGTCTCGTTAAGTATTCTGCCTTCCCCAATCTGGATTGTCCAGGCTAGCCTGACCTCATCCGATCTCAGAAACTCAGCAGGATCGGCCCT